CGTTGTTGATGAGGTCGTTGTTGACGTCGTTGTTGAAGTTGTTGTTGTAGTGGTTGTTGAAGGACATACACAACAAACAGCAGGACAAAGCATTTCTCCTGATGTTGCTTGACGTCCATAACGCTCTTGAAAATCATCAAACGGATTTTTTACAGAAGACATTTCTATTATATCACAGCAACAGTGACTTAGAAATTAGTACAAATAAAATTAAAACATACCTTCATTAGTTGGAAATCCATTAGCAAGATACCAATTAGCAAAAATTAGAATCCACAATAGATGTTGTCGATGACTCTGTTATTCAAAACAATCTTTATATAACCCAGTGAAAAACTTAAAGAATTAAAATCGATATCAATTGATACTAATTATAATTTTGTTTTCAATTGATTAAAGTTTTAATTTTGTTGCACGAAAATTCGATTATAGATTTCAATTGTTTCCATAAGGATGTGAATGCGAATGTGTAGTTCTCAATCAGTGAATTGATTCTAATTCCTTTTGAGTCTTATGAAAACAGAATTTACTATATATCATTCGATACACTTGAAAAAGCTCTACACCATGATATATTTAGTTTTTCATTTCTGAATAGATCACCTCATCTGACAAGGTCGTTTAAACACCGTGATCAGAACTTTCGGTTAACTCTAAGTAATAACATTTCCTAATCGATTTTAATCATGCATGCCGAAGATAAGCGTTCTTCTCGAGATCCGAATGTGATACCCCAATTTTTCATGATTTTTCTGGATGAATTGTATTTAGAAACTAGGAAGTTATCGCCAAGCTGAATTTTAGTAAATGAAGTAAATTTGAAGTTATTACATAATTTGTTTCAAATTGAGATGATGCAATTACATCAAAAGTCGATTAAAAATTAAAAATTTACTTTTAATCAACTATGTGCATTTTTTTACCTTTGTCTATGTAGTACTTCTTTGTATATAAAATACTTTTGAAAATAGTCTTCTCACAGGTTGTATTCATCTCATGTGCACCTTCTACTTATGAAAATAATCAGTTTCACCTCACTACTACGCTTTGGAATTGATTTAACATGATTCCTGCTTTGGATAAACATGCTATTAATTAAAAAGAAATATTTTAACTGGATTATTTTATCTGAGTTATGTTTTGAAAAAAACATTAATAGTGTTCATGATAATGTGTATCGCATTTATCGTAGAACTTTGCTAATAAATATTACATGAGATTTTATCTAGGATTGTCATTGTAATAAGTAATATTCTACATCATTTGATTCTGTATAGACCTTACTGATATTTTCCAACATCTTGAAAATCGATTGTCGATGAAAACTCGACGACACTGAAGATAATCAACAATAATCGACAAAGCAGAATATAATTTCAATCGATTTTAATTGAATTTACTGGAAAGATTGGAACGCTCGTTCAAAAAATCAGATTTTCACTTTGGTAATTAAAACTAATCGTGATTTTCTTAGGAATATTTTCCAATGAGAAGTAAAACATTTTCTCACAGTCTAGAACTCAGAGATTTGACATCTTACTAACTGAAACTGACATCAATGAAGTAACAAATCTGTCAATAAAATAACCTGTTAATTACAATCTTAAAGTTGATCTATAGTCATTTAAATTATATAGGATATCTTCGACATAGAAATGAAATTAGATAAGAACCAAAGAATTACAATAATGATTAGAAGTTTCATATACAACAAAAATATACTAACTCCATTATTATTAGTCTTCAAAAGTTAATTGATATACAACAAGAATTGATGTAATATATCAATTGTAAAAGTATCAATGCAAAACAAATTTTGAATTTTATCGGGCATCATTCATGAAATTATATTAAGTATTTCGACAAGTAGTGAACAAAGTTCAGGAAATTTTTCAATTATTTTGAATGTAAAATGGATTAGCTAAAGTGAACAATGACTGACTAATTCTCTGCATTATACAATACAAATTGAACATAAGAACTTTGACTGTTCTATATACTCTCATGTATTGAAAAGCAAGAGAGAATCGAAAAACAAAATCGTTCTATATTCATCTCTCAATTAGAACTACATAACAAACTAATTTGAATAGATATGATATTTTTTCTAATGGCTACTCATAACTAGAGTTATATAGAGTACTTCTGAATAGAAAGAATTTTTCGACTTATATCTTGTTAGAAAACAAACTAAAGTCGTTAAGATAATAAAAAATAAGTAAGCTGTAGTTGAATACTTCTTGTTCGTATTCAATGCTCCAGCGTTCTTAAGTTATTTCATGTCACTAATCTATTCAGAGAATGATTGATAGAACATTATCAATTAATCAAAATAATGATGAATAGTATGACGACGAAAACTTGAGTGATTATTTTGTTGATTATTAACCTAATTCGAATATAATCATGTTTGAATAGTTCTCTATCAATTAATATTTCGTGATTTCTCTATGAAATCTTGTACATTGTTTAAACACTCATTACCAAAGCTACTCACAACAAATCTACGAAAACTTCAGTAAGAAATACGAGAAATATAAATCTAATTATAAAAACTTAAGTTTTATGATGAATATGAGCAAGCACACTAATTGTTTGTGGTCTTCCATATAAAATAAAGACGTATGACCTAAAAGATAATGTAAACAAAAGAAAAAAAAAGCTTACTCTGTATATATGTAATCGATCAGCTAAAACCATGGTTGTTTTGTCAATTTGACAGAAAAATGTGATTAAAATTTTTTCTTATGAGTTTCAAAAATCATTCAGTATATATTTTTCTTTATTGGCTGGTAATATGAGTAATGATTAAGACGGGACAAACAATATTTCTTTCATTTTTTGGATATCTCCCACTTTGTTTTTTAGACAAATCTTCTTTAAGATTTGTTACGTTTAAACTCAATTATATTTTAAAGACAATCTTCTCCGATGACATTAATCCTTGAAAAAAATCCACATTCATAATTACTGACAAACAGATCAGATTCTTCAATATATACCTATTATGAAGACAGATAAGTAAATATATGAATTTTTTCACCGTTTTATTTTGCATCTATTGAATTGTATAAGAGAAGAAAGATTCAAATAGAGTTTTGCCTAAGTCTTCACGTAAAAATATTAGCGCATCGTTTTGATTATGATTTTAGATTTGATCTAAGCGACTCCTACCCAGAAACAGGGCCTACTGAACGACTTAGGTGAAAGACTCCTTGACAAATATTTTTTCTATACAATAAATTTCGGTTAATGCACACTTAACAACAAAGCATAGTAGTCCACTTCAGGATCTATCAGTTTTTCAGGAACTATCTGAGAAGTCTCTCGATGAAAGAACTGAAAAGCAGTCTTAGTCCCGATTACGATTCCACTCTAGATTTCCTCAGAACTTTCCAACAAGTCCTTCGGTTATCTCTGTCGAGATTTCCCAGAAACTCTCTGGAAACTTTGTCAGAAAAATTGAACCGGAGTGTAAATTACTTCATCAATTTTACAATTAGAGTGAGAACGGAAGTGTATATGATTGACACAATATAAACTGTCTATAAGAAACTTATTCACAAGAATATTTCATCTCTAAAACGGATAGTTCATCTTCTCAAAATCAATATCTGGTATAATTAATTCTTCTTAGAGATATTTTCGTTCAGCACATTGAACAAGTGTATATTTATGCACCCTATGGCCGTAACGAAGTATATTTTCCTTCAGTAAAAATAAGGATGGCAATAGAATATGATTACCGTACTGGACAATGCAAAGGATATAATTTAAGGTTTAATAGCCGTAAGAAGACTGATATGATACACTAAATTTTTCTTTATTAGACATTGACGATTCGTATTGAAGTCAAATAAGAACAGCTATCAAAATATTACGAACATGGAGCTTTTTTCAGACATTTCGTTTCGATTGAATTGTTTAACAGTAGTATAAGTCTAAACATAGAGGTAAATAGGCTTATAACAATACAGATAAAATTACAAGCGTCATATTTCTACTTGTAACCATATCTGACACTGTTCTGATATTGTGATGTTATGTCGACCATCAACCAATACTAATTCAGAATGAAAATCATGTTGCTGTGTTACTTGAAGTAAATTCGACATAAACTACACGTTCGATAAGGATCCTTCGAAGATGAAAATAAGTTTTCAAAACCAATGAAAAATTTGAATATGAACAATGAAAGCAAACAAATGATCTGTCAAAGAATCTTTGTTTCATGAATTGAATCGAACCATCTACGTAAAATCAGAAAAATCGAAAAATCTTGGTGAAAATAGTTATTTCTCGTGTCAGAGTTTGATATACACTATAATGAAAAATAATATTTTTTACAATTGTTTTTCAAATTAGAAAATACCGAGTCTTCATCAGAGGTCATAGGAAATCCACAGAGTAATTCTAGTACAGAATCACGATGGATGTATTTCCGGCCTTGTTCTCATCATTAGTAGATAGAGCATATCAAATTCTATTTCAAAAAGGAAAAAGGAGAGTTGGAACGCATCCTGGACAAATCGCTGCTGGAATTACTTCCAAATGTCCCTAGAATCTTTGGTGAAAAATCAGCATTTTTCGATTTTGGAGACTATAGTTCAAGATATTGAGAACCCTTGGGACGCGCTATGAACGAATCGTTGCTAGAATTGCTCAAGTCAGCTGCTAACTGCACTATCATTAAATAAAACCTTTGTACAGTAAGGACCGAAGGGTTGCAAAAGTGCTCACAATGGAGAGGTATTCATATTGAGGAGGTTTTTCCTATTCTTTACCCATATAATACTTTATGAATTTGTAAAAATGTAAAATTCATTTTTAGATAACTACAGTATCGATGTAGATATAAGTGCGAGACAAGAGCATACAGACATCCCAAATCTACACTCACATTGACATTCTTTTCAATAGTAAAATAAAGCACATCGATAAATCAATCAGTCATTATTAATAAAACAGTTCGAAGTTCGGACACTAATAAAATGTAATGAAAAGATTATTTGCAACATTTCATTATTCTTCTAATTATGTTTGTGTCTTATTCATATATTTTTTGTAAAAGTAAACTAATGCTTGATAATCATCTCCTTTTTGTAAATTTTTCCAATCATCATCAAATTTTGTCACAAAAGATGGATCATCTAAACTCATCGATTGTGCTATTTTATAATTGAATTTCATTCTTTTGATATTATTAAATTTGGCTAAATTATTCGTAATAATTTCAGTCAAACTACGTGTAGCGTCCATCAATGTATTGACTAATAATCCGTCATTTAGTATCCATCCTACAATACCACCCCAGCTTGATGGTGATAGTTTTGCATTATAACATCCTGTACCTATAGAAAGTAAATAATAATTGGCTAATTTTTTCCATTGCATTCGTATCGCCCATAATGCAGCTAATTCTGGATCATTGGCAAACACACCACCATCAATGAATATTTCAGGTAATATATTATTATCATTCTTATCTTGTATAAAATGACCATTCTTTATTGTTCTTTTACACATTTCATGTGGTGGAAAGTAAGTAGGAGCAGCCATTGTGGCCTTTAATACATCTGCAATAAGATATGGCCAATGTTTAGCATAACTTGTATTAAATATGGTAATGGTGTCTGTTGTTGTATTATAAGCAGTAATAAGTAATACTTTTTCACGTTTAACACGGTGACGTATTTTATCTTGATCAATCTTATCGAGATCTCTCATAGAAGATTCATCAACAAATTCTAGCCAATTACCATGAGATAGAAGAGTCTCTGCTAATTTGTCATCAGTCATCATATCACTAGTAATCATATCATCAGGATTTAAGAAATTATGTATGTCAAGTAATGTAGCATCTTTAGCCGTTAATTGTTTACCATTTTTTAATGTAATTGTACCAATAATTTCGTCGATTTGATTGTGTATATGAACAGGATCATATTTTGCCCATAGATAAGGTCCAAAACGATTTTTTTTGAAATAGTGAGAAGAGTTCGCATATATTTTCTTAATATTGAATATGTCATAGTTGATAGTCAAACAAAAACCAATGAGCCCACCTGTACTTGTACCAACAATGTAATCAAATTGTTTTATGAAGTCTAATTGAGCTTGTTTAAATCGTTCTCTGTGTTGTGAATTATCAGAATCAAATTCCTTAATGTCATCAAGATGTTGTTCTATTATAAGCTGACAAAGTACTTGGATTGGCATGTAACCACGTATACCTAGAAATAAGAAACAATATAAGAATAAACATTTAGGCCCAAAATGAAATTGATCATCTCACCTCCACCATCTAAACTCAAGCAATGAATATCTGTTTCATATGCTTGCATATGGTATTCTAAAATCATTGAGTATATTTCAGACGACTGAGCTTCTTCAAACGGTGATGATGATATTGTTTGTTTTTTCTTTAACATAGCCATGACAATAGACATATCATAATCACTTTGAATTTTCTTCGCGTTCATTATACGTTGGAATTCTCCTTCGATTCGCTTATTCAGATCTGTATACGCATATGTTTCAGCTTCTTCGACAGATATCGACTGGATATCTTCATTAACTATCGAATCATTGAGATGAAGATGCTGATGATATTGCTTATGACTATCACGAATATGAGGTGATAAATGATCGTATCCGAGTACTGTACACTCATTGCATAAATCAAACGTCTTGCATTTATTGCATTGTTGCCAACGAACTTGATCTATAGTAATGTGGCAATTGTCACATTGAAAATTTGTAGAAATTTGACTAGATGACTTCAGAAGCTGTGATGACATTATAACAATAGTTATATACTAAGTATCGTTGATGCACGTTTCTTGTTCTTCATTCACTTTTGTGGCATCTAATTTCGATAAAATAACTAAACTATGTATTGTACTTCTATAGAAGAAAAATATATATATGAAGGAAGCATATATACTGAAATAGTTGTATCAAAAAAAATATTCTTTATTTCAGTCTCGACTATGATACAGTTTCTTATATGCTGATTTGATCTTTATACTTTTCTTCTGTTCCGAAAAAATATAAGAGGAAAATAGTCGAACTTTGCCACTACTAATATAAAGAGTGTTCCAAAATGATAGCACTACTAACGCATTGTGTAAATACCAAAGAATTTTTTCAAGTAAAACTGTCATTGTCGATCTTATACCATTGAAGAGAGTATCCAAAGTTGGATAGACTATGCATGTTTTGACAAAAGACATCGTAAAGCTCTACTATATATATACTTTTTTAAAAGATATCACTAGGAAGAATGCAAATTTCTACATAAAATAGATTATTTTTCTGTTGTCACGACTTGATTCCAAAAAAGCTGAGAACATCGGCTCACAAAGCGGAAAAAAACTATACTTTATTCTGCTGCACAAGGAGAAAAGCTAGAGACACCAACAAGACTAGTTCTCAACTTTTTGAAGTTAATATATGACAACAAAAAAATAGCCTATTTTATGTAGAATTTTGAAGCATGTTTGCTTGATTTCAGATAAGTTAATATTATTGTCGTGTGGATGAGTGTGGATTGTATAGAGTGGGTTTTCTGTTCATTACACACCACATTAACTCAACCACACACTCACTAACCCACACAGCTACGATCCATACCAATATCCATACCCTTAAGATAAGGACTTTTTTTCAAAGGCATCCTCTAGGCGTAATATCTGCTTTGTCCTGGGCAAGTGTTGTAACCGGCAAAGATCAATCAGCTAATTATAATTCTGTCGTGAACATTTAAACGATTAACTCTCATGGTTTATATAATTGAAAATGGTATCGAACATGCTTCAAAGCAGTGAAAAAATTGGCATGATATCTGTTCTTGTTTAAGAATAAATAGGATTTAAAATAGATAGTTATATTCAGAATCACCTGTAGATATGATATATAGTGTTGAGACACTGTAGGTACCTCTGAAGAGATAAGAGAAGGGCAGAAGATATGAAAAGTTCACGTGAAATATAATAATCTAGACTAATGCATTTGTTTGTTGGTTTATTTTTCACAAAGCACCGGTATTCGATATGTAATTATTTGCTCATTTCTTTTCCTTACACCTTATGACCTATTGCCTTCACCTTACCTCATGCAAATAGATAGGTGAAATCAATATTTTCTTTCATCGACTTTCTAGCATATTTTTTTTCTTCCTTACCCACTCGTAGACCATATCTATATGACCTATACTGTATGAGACAGAAGAACGAAAACACGAAGAAACATTTCGAAGTCCATTTTCTTAAGATTGCAACCTCAAGACAAATTTTGATAACAAGGAAACTCAAAAACTCAACAATCAGTGAGATATGCATGACGGTAGTATGGGAACAGTACAACGCTTTAGACAAGAATACTATCACTGACACAGTCAAGTTAAATTTATATGCCATTCTCGTTTCTTCAATAATCCGTATTCCTTATAAAAACAATTGACTATTTTAATCTTCCTTTTTCTAATGAAAATAAAATAGACAGAACGAAAGAGTTTATAACACATGAAATAATGCTCGTAAGACCAAGACAAAAGAAATATTTTTCTTCAGTTATTTTTCTCAACATACGTAGTGAACGCAAAAATCGACAACGAGAGTAGAGTAAGACCAGTCAACAAGTCATCGACATCGATAATGTGTAGATAAGATAGTCAAGGAAAAGAGATAGAAGCATTAGTATCATAGTAGCTTGCTTCGAACATTTTTTTTTCTTTGCATTACTACCATTTTACTGTTCCTTATTCTATTAGTCATTATATTTATGTTTTCTCAGAATCAAGAGGAAAACAGGCAACTATATGGCCCCTTGATCCTATTAATTCCACGTGATTTCGGGTGACTCTATGGATTCTTGTGAATTTATTGATTTCATCTTGTCTCTGATGCGCTAGAGTCACTTGTTTTTTCCCCTTGGTCAGAATGGCAAACGATAACGTAGAGAAATATTTTTCTGCCTTTTTTGTCTCTTCATATAAAGAGGAGAGAAAATTGATGAGAAGAAAACAAAAAAAAAACGGCAAGAAATGTGTGAATGTAATATCGGTGCTGTGCAGATAAAAAACTGGAAAGAACAGAGAAAGGGATATATCCAAAAATAGTTGAGTCAAGCCAGCGTTTCTTTTCTTCGCTTCTCTATCATGCTGCTCTTTCTCACACAGCCAGTGACAAAGTCTGTGTCCTATAAGAAAGCAGGACGACAATACCGAGAAATCTTTTTAGGCCTTTTTCTTCTCTTGTCATTCGGTTCTCAAATGATTTGATTATTAATTGTTTGTGAAAGACGAAGAGAATGTTTCAAATCACAGAACTTTCGATTGACTTGTTCTCTATTGATCGTTCGCTAGTTAATTAATTAGAAGAAAATTCTTCGCCATTATCTCCGTAATGATATCAAGAAATATAATATTGTCAATAATCTTATCAAGGATTTGATAAATACTGTCAGATACCAAACGAAGATTCGCACTGATTGATGTAACAAGACATCTCCAATGCACATGCTGATGAAAATGTTCAAATCATGGCTTGTATCATTACACATGAAATTGTTTTATAATATATTAAAAGTAGATGAAATGTGGTTTAAATTTATTTCACATATAGAACTGAAATGTTCGAACTTCATGAGTATAGTCATCATCAGCAAAAAAACATCACTTATGATCATAAGTTTACTTTATTCGTAACAAATAATAATTGTTGGAAAAAATAGAACAACTAAAAAATTATCATATACAACAATTAAATCCATCTGAAAATTTAAGCAGCTGAAAAGTCCATACAGGTGCATATTTTAGCGCTTGTAAGCAATGAGTCTCTAATAGAAAGAACATTTTTAGGTGATTCACTCCATTTGTTGCCTATACTTGCTCGAGCTGGAGAAGTTGAGTTACAAGTTACTACTTCGAGTAAATTTGGACAAGACTGGGATTTCATTGAAGTTTGTGCTATTCTAGTGATACTCTCCATATAAATACAGTATGAAGGCAAAAGGGGCGAATCACTAGGAAAGGTTTTCTCATGTGGAATACAAGATCTGTTTATGACTCATTTTCCATATGGAGCTACTGATTCCTAATCATGTGCCATGAACTGTTAGTTTTGGAGACAATTAGGTAGCTAAACATATTTCACTTTCTTTTGAAAATATTTTTGAGATACATGTCATAACCCGAAAAGAATTGAAGTTTTCGAATTCGGGTTCGGTTAATTTTCGGACTCTAACAGTTATCGTTACATTAGCAAATAGCGACAAGTTCGAAGCTTATGAATTTGATTTTTCGTCAAGAAAAGCTTGTTTTTCAAAGATAAAGACTGTCTTTTGAAACTTGACCAAAAGCTGACAAAATCAATCTATAGGTGATATCTCAAAATTTTAAGTTTGATTTTTTTTCACCAACATTAGAACTTTCGATCCTGAAAACCTTCGATCAAACTTTTCAAAAGACTACTACTTAAAAAAACTGAGTCATTAATATCCGATTACCCCTCACTTACCAACGTCATAGCAGCCGCTCTCTCCTACTATTCATTTAATAATAATATTGTATAACATATGATCTATAAATAAACAGAATGTTCAAACAAAGAAACGTTTCTTACATATACAAAATAGTTTTATTTCCGTTTTCATTTAATGAGTTACAAAGTACAAATGATTTAAATTTGTGTAAGCCTGACTTACTCATACACTAAACTGAAGCTAAATCAAAACTCAGGAGCCTCATTGAAATAGAATGTTGAAATAATGCAAGGTCTCTTGACATTATAAAATCATTTAACCGAATCAAAATTTTAATCTTAAATGACAATAAATAAACAGAAAAAGAAATACGATAAAGGCAGTAACTATGGACTGAATTATTTGATTATTAAATCATGCGTGGAACCAAAACGAGAAATAGATCATGATACTAAAACAATCAGTTAAAAAAAGTAAACTACCTTAAGAATTAAATAAACCCTACTATCAATCTACGTAAAGTCAAATCAAACACAATACGGCCAATATACATTCCTCTTTGAAAGAAAGTCGTTTTAAGTAAACAACAATGGAAAAAGCAATAAACCTGATTGTTTTCCTAGTTATCATCAGTCACTTTTGTATAAGATATTGTATAATGAAAAAGAGTACTACTTTATTTTTACTTAATTAAGATAATGAAGAAGACCAGAGGCGTCATTGTCCATTGTACTGACATGTTACCAAACAGACGTATTTTGTGCCTAATACATTTCATAACTGTAAAATAAGACGAATGAACTGTCTTGAAAGACATGAGACATTGTTTATTACTAATATAAATCGCCCAAAGACGAAGATGTACAAGCTTACCAGCACATTAATTTTATTTCGGCCGTCAATGATCGTTAGGCATTGTTTACAGTGGCATGCTCATAAACTTTTCACGCACCATTGCATCAAAATTACATTTAATCTCTGCAATAGAAAAACGATAGCGTTCAATGTCAGCGTATACATGTGCATATCTTCTACCTTGAGGGAGAAAATCTTCAGGGTGTGGGTGTGGATATAGATATGGGTGTGAGCACATTCGTACCCACATCCCACCAATAACAGCTACCTACAGAAGCTGATATTAATGTTGACTGTAGTTGGCCTTTCCTTACCAATGGTTACTGATACGCTATTGAATTAAGACGGCTGTATAGCTTTAAAAATTCAATTTAAAAAAAGAAAAAGATATTGTTTTCTAGACAATTCGATTGCTGTACAATCTGAGCACATGAAATATAGAATTTGATGAAAGCAAATTTTTAAGTCTGAAAAAAAAACGATTTCCTGGAGAACCACTCTCCAAAGCATTTAAGGCAATACTCATGTTCATATTCAAAACCAGCATAGTCGATAACTAATGATCACGTTGATCTCATTAAACGAGTGATTGAGCAGTTGCAATTGTTCTCTTTAGTATCGTGTTTCCTCTATAAAAAAGAACGGCTAAAAATCAGACTACAATAGATCATTTTTGGGTTAAAAATAGATTGAAGTGGCACCATTTTTATGTAATTGTTCAAAATCAAATAAAAAAAATGTATTTTATTTC